CAACCCATTCAGCCACCCCAGCTCAACGGATGTATAGTATATATAACATGGAGGCTAATCAGCGAAACAACCATACAAGTCAATTTTCAGAAGTTATATATAGAGTGTTCCATGTAGAACTGCTGTGATTGATTACTCAAAAATTTGACGTGAGTGAAATAGTACTAACCTTTCATCAAAAGTCGAGCGGTTGTTTACTGTTGAAAATAAGGTCGTAATTATGTGAAATATTGAGCCTTGCCAAAAATTTTTCAAAAGATCTAAATGCACTGCCCACTGTGATTCCACAGCATTATCCCTCCTCAACAAGGAGATAGATAGACAAGTATAGATTTTTATTCTGTAGAATATCGCACAAGGTCGATGAAATTAAGCACTTTAAAAATTATCTCATTCATTCGATCTGTCTGTCATCTATTCGACAATCCTAGACAACTTGGGAAGCAGCAACTGCTAGAATTTTGATAATATGTTAGCACCAAATTACTACTGTGCCTAGAACAAAAAAGATTAGATTTATACATTTTGAAGATTTGTCCAGTAGCAGTGGAGTTCCGAGCTTAAAATCAAGAACATCAGCGTGTTTTCCAATTTAATTTTTTTGTTTATATTTTTAGAATGTCAGATATTATTCGAATGTAGTCAAGATCATTTTTAGAGACTATAATGTAATTAAAAAATTCCATACATTGCGATTTGTTTCATATTTTTCGTCTTCCCGGACACTGGCGTAGTCTAATTTTTAGAGCGACCCAATACGGCTGAAGTGGATATGTTTGCTTTCCGTCTCTGTAATCATGACCAGCAACAGACAGCCCTGTTTGATGCTCATTAACAGCTCGTCAGTGCGGTATAGGTCTAGTTCTAGTCTTGGAGACAGACGAAACAGAAAGCAAAGTTGCTATGGTCTTTTGAAACGTTCAAAATATTGTGCGCAATTAGGTGAAAACCTGTCAATTGCCACTTAACACCTTTTGTTTCAATAGTTTGAAGCCGGGCATATCTCTAGTGGGGCCACTATTCACCAATTTTCGTGTACAAATAAGAAATAAAATATTGAATCAATGTGCTTGATGATAGTCAATGTTGTTTTTGAAATAGATACAATAATGATATCAGAGGCATCGACAACAATATTAATTTTCAATGCTTGTGAGTCTATAACATCTGCGCCTCATCTACGAATGAACCTATAAAATTTATTATCATGAAATCAACTATGTAGACAAAATTAACTTGTGGGCTATGTTACCATCATACTTCTTAGTCAAATAAATCACAGCTTTTATATATTAGCACAATCAGAAGTGTAGCGAAGCGAAGCAAATGGTACTATGTATGTGAACCATGCCCATTCTTGGTATCGCAAGTGTCTGCAATGTAAGTGGTACCATTTATCACGTTTCTTGTGGTTCTCGGAAAGCTACACAGAAGTTCAAGTGCGTGGACAGCTAGTTGCACAGAGGTCAGCATCCAGATTAATAAACTGTTTTAAATAAGATATGTATAGTGCTGATAATCAGGCAGATGAAGGCTATCCAATTTTGTTTTATTTTATTATACATTTACGTGATAGTGAGAAAGCAAATAAATACCAAGTAGTTATTACGAGCTGTCACGCCTCCACACTACGCTGCAATAGAGTATAAGGATAAACGTTAAGGCTACCGTACTTTTACTTTAATATATACTTGGGGCTTAGGCACACTTTTTTATAAGTGTTGAGGCACCTAGCAACCATCACAATGATAGTCAAACGCAATATTGAATCTAAAAGCTTCTTCTCAAATAGTACATTACACACTTTTGTGGAGAAGTATACCATTACTGACCTAGCACTTCTATATCTTGAAACGCATAGCAATGCCTACATCACAGAACGGTGCATAGGAGAGGGAAGCTGCCGCTACATGATAAAGGATAAGGGATGCTACGTACGTCGACTTATTCGTATTCCACTCATTTTTAAGTACTACAATTTATCAATAAGCAACTTTCAAGCTGTCAAAATAATCGGTTGAATAAATACAATGAACAACATAATTTCAGTTATTAATTGATTCTGTATTTATTCGAAGTAAAAAATACTATTAGTAAATAAAAAGTGCTGTTAAACAGTGACAAATTCTGTAGTACCCAGCGAGAAAACGCATGCATTCACTATTTACCTAGGGTTCTTTTTTCATGATCATTATTTACACAGGCGGATAAATGTAACTTCTCTTCGTAGGAATGCGGCAAATAATGAAACTTTCTCAGGCTAGGAGTGGAAAAATATTTTTTTAACAATTTCCGATTTTGACGAAACCTAAACTTCAAAAACAAAACCTTGTCAAAAAAAAGGGTTGCGCTCAAAATAATTATTTTACCTCTGATATTATAAAAATAAGTACACGCATCCTTGTTTGATAGAGATAACATATACCTTAATATATTTTCAAATTGAAATAACATAGGAACGCAGTCCTCAGTAGTTTATTTACATTTCACCATCTGCCTCGTTGCTTATTTCTAACTTATGTCGAGAAGCTTCTATAGAATAACAGTAATAACATGTGCGTTGTGTGAATGCTAATGTAATCCAATCCTTATTAATCATGAAATTAAACACATCAATCATTAATAACTTCTTTATCGCATGACGGCGTGAGAAAAATTAGATTTTATACTGTGTGTTCATATTGTCTTTCTGAGTTAAATTCAAATAGTATGTAACATCCGCATTGATATCCAAAAGTTTGGGAAAACTCAAAAATAAAAAAAAAGACTAGCATGCTATTGCTCTCCAAATTTCACTATCATACATTACCAAACCCGGCTTACAGATTTTCACAAATGTTTCCTCTCAAATTTTGAGGAATTGAACTACATGCCAAATTCCCAAATATTTCCACCAGATTAGTCAAAGGTATCAAAAAAGAGTTCAACAGGGTTGACATGTCTGATTTCATTATTCTTATGGCGAACACCATCTTCATGTGCTGACTGTAAAATAAAAGCACAGATATAGGAGACAAAAATTACAGCTCTTTCAGCCACCTCGATATAGTTTTCAAATCACTCGTGTAAGCAGAATTTATTCTTGTACATCAATAGTTGAATTTGTAATGTAACGTGTAGAATAATTAGCGGAATAAGCACAGGATTCGGAAGACACAACAGAGTTGTAGTGCAGTTACCATTAAAACCATAGAATAAACTTATCATATCAACTTCAGAATTCTAAACATATACCTCAACCAATTGAAGTATACCATGTATCTTTGAGTGTCTAAATTTAACCGGATAACCGAGGAAGTGTAAATGCATAGTGGTATCAATAACATTTCAGATCCAAAAGTTATTAATATATAAAGTAAGGCACTTCGCTGTAGTAACTGTATCTGGAACACAGCGCGTTTATGATTTGGATTGAAATTCAATTCGTTTGTGATGTATTCATACAGAGTATCCTGAAAGTTGGAAATTTCCTATTCAGAAACAACTACGTTTGAAGTAACAGTCAATTTGTAGTAAAACGTTATCAAAAACGTAAAAAGAAATTCAAGAACAATTAATTTGGTACGTAATCTTAAGTGCTACCCTGTCACACGTTTTGTTTGTAGTTGCTGCTTGAAGCTGTTGATTTGGGTCTGTCTAGGTCGACTGTGTCCACTCACACGATATTAACAAACCTACGCAGCTGATGGCAAAATTGAAGACGTCGGCGACGCTCTAAATACTCGAATACACTCGCGGAGTATCAATACGATCGATAATTACGTTACTGCTGAAGGAATATGTCATTTTCGGTTTGCGGTTTGTTTATAGACTGATTTAGGTACTGAGTCACATAGTCATAGTACCATAAAGCATTATACTCTTTGATATGGGAGGTTAGGGAGGTAGGGTCGGAAAGGCTTATATAGAGTTTTTCGGAATTCAATATTTCGATTATCTTAGGGCTTTGCCATATGAGTTACTAGGAAAACTTGCTTTATTTATTGCTTGACATATGCTCTCTGTAAAAGAAAATCCCAGGTTTGAGCAACGATATTCCAGACATTGTAGATCTTTCTATTGATGCAGTTTTCTACAACTCCGATATTAAACTTTTACGAAACAATCGCATTCTAATAAGGCTGTTTCCACCAGAAGTGAAAGTATAACAACCTCTTCAAAAAAGGCAAAAGGTTCGAATTGAAAAAAGAACTTAAAAGAGTAATTGAGATATAGCGGGGCGGTTGACACCTAAAGTATACCCGTTAAAAATGATAACCATATGCGTAGGCGCAAAAAACAACATGGCCATAATTTAGTTGATTGATTGTCTCATGAGCCGAGTGACAAATTCGTAGAATCCTTATTCTGTATGCATATGGTTGGTGAATAGACCGGGCGACAAACACCATCCGCCAAAAGTTCTAAAATAAATACTTAGAAATATATAGAATGTAGATGTCGCTCAGTATTCATTAAATTAGATGTTTGTCAGCAAATATGATGAAATTACCACTATTCATGTATCATATCCAAATTCAAATGAGATATTTTGATCTTCCGTAGGAACTAAGACTAGCATTAAAGGATTGTTACTGGCAATCAAGACAACAGATTTTTTGACAAGTGACTACGACTAAAATAATATCTTCAAAATAGAATTTACAAAGAAAAATATGTTCACTGTCGACTGGATGCTGGATGAAATTATGTCAAAAGGTGATAGGACTAGAAACCTGAAAGTATGGGAGTCGTGGGAACCCATTTGGGTCAATTTAACGTTGAGTTTATGTTGTTTACATTTTTTCAGGAAAATATAAAATATGTTCGAGTATAATATTACACGTTTGAGGAACTCTGCGACAGTCAAACATTACTATATTTTTGGTAATTTGGGTTCTTTTTTTCCTTAGATCTTATCGGTTGGGTAGACATTTCTAATTTATAGAATAATTTTGTTGAGCAAAACAAGATAACCATGCAATGGACGCTGATACTCATAGCTATTTCTCTTTTTGCAGATATCCTTGGTGCACTTAGCAGCAAACATAAGCTTAAGAAATAGCACCGTTGTTGAAGTACAAAACTATTGCTCATTATTATTGGTAAGTATTATACTTTACACAGTCTTTAATCAATATGCTTGCATGCATCCGATGATCATTTCTCAGCTCGAGAAGAAAAAACTAACTAGACCACCGCTAGTATTATCTCTACGTGTGTATGAATGTTGCAGTTACCCCTGTCACAGGTTTGATTTGGTTAGCTATATTATAATATATACCCCACATACCACATGTTTGAGAGAGTAAAAAGGCACACAATTTCTTCATCTGTACGAACTCTTTCTCATTGGGATATTTTCATATGAGAATTTTCTCATAGTTACTTTCGCCAGCGGCCCCAGGACAAATGTATCGCCAACGCGAAAGGTGTAAAAAATATAACAAAAATGTGAAAATATATATTTCCAGTGCACTAAGGGTCGTATCGTCATTCGTTCCTACAACTGTAGGACGCATCTACGGCCTTCTTGATTTTCATAGTCTTTCCTCGCCTTCAGAAAGGCTGTGATATTTGTAGAGTTCTACTGTTCCATGTCAGCTTCAGCGCTCTCCTATTGTCAGGCTGTGTTTTCTTCTTGTAGGAAATTTCAGACTATATAACAAGTGATATAAATCAAAAGTATTAACAATTTTATGTAAATAGATATTTGTAACATAACCTCAAAATAGAAAAGTAGAGAACTATAAAAATCAAGGAGGCCATAAAGGCTTACTACGATTGTAGAAACGACTGACGATACGTCTACGAGATCTCCGTGCGAAGTTCGGGCTTCTTTCGTTCTAAATAAATTATTATGTGCGTTTGAAAAACTAAATTATTTTAGGAACATTTAAAATGCCCAAATTATATTTTACGATTCGCTTCACGTGGTCGATTGCTAAGAACTAAAGACTGAAATAATATCGGAAACGTTAGATCAAGAGAAATGCTCACAGTTTGAAAGATGAAGTTTTTCTTATTCACCTGTAAAAGAAAAATATTATTAGAATTGATCCCACTTCATATAAAAGGGTAGTTATTTGTTTTACTTCCCACGTCAACTTGCGAGGAAGTATCTTAATCGCAAAAATTACGAAAGACTCACTCATTTCCGTCGGTCTGTCTGTCTGTCTGCCTGTCCGCTAATCGTTGGCTCGTCTATAATTTGCGAAGTATCAAAAAGATTTTGTTGAAATCTTCACATAAGGTTACTGCTAAAAGGCTTGTATCTTTTGGAAATCGGTTTAGTGGCAGCGAAACTATAAGCAAAAGATGGGAAAGAATCGATCACCTTCGTTTTTTTGCAGGGGTTAAAAATGTAAGATTGGGGTTTGTTGGGGTTTAGAGGACGAGGGTATGACTTAATTTTTGGCATTAGTGAATTATACGTACATAATTATATAATATATATAATAATAATATAATAATTTATACGTTTCCAACCTCAGTATTTCAAGGAATTTATTGGCACATATTCCACACATTATAGATTTCTTCGTACAATTGCGCTTAAAACTTTAGGAGAAATATTTTCGATATTCGTCGTTTGGTACCGCAACTAACCTTTACATTGGCGCACAAAAGCTTCTCTGTTCGGTAACGTTCAGACGGCCGATACTTTCGGTATGGCAGGAAAGAGACTTAGCGTTATCAAGTTACTGGGGACTATGGACGAATTGTACAGGCCTTACTTGGTTGATTTGATCCATTCATTCTTTTGTTCTACATGTTTGTAGCTAAGTTTTACCTCAGCGTTGTGCAGGAAATGCAGAACCAACCTATTTTTATATTTTGTATTCTAGCTCTACAGAAGATAATAAAAGCAACGTATTCAATGATTTCTTAATGCTATTGTTATACTAGTGTCAAAGTGTCAAATAAATTTGAGGACAACATTTGCATCTGAAAAGACGCCTTTGAAAAATGCGTGAATTATACAACATTCTAACAATAAATGAAAGAGTAATTTGTAAACCCGTATCACGCGAAACATAAATTGAAATGCTTCATCGCTCCTTGGTCTATCACATTAACGCGCAAGCATGTGTATGTCATCGCAAAATATTTTCTCCCGAAAATATTACGTTAAAAATAGGCCGGCCCGAATATCTTTTGATCTGTCCTGCTAGATTTTCTCTCTTCTTTCTCTGGAACGCATCTAGCAATAAATAAACCTGTAGCTATAAATATCCTTTTTGAAGACGGTGTCTTTCTCAAAACAACTGTTAATGGCACATGACTGCTCGTTCGCATACGTGCATACCTAGAGACCTGAGTTTGGCGCACTTCATATGAAAACATACAGTTTGGTATTTTCTATCTTCATGTTTTACATTGCTTCATACAATCTGTAAAGAAATGAATGAAACGTCTTCATCATCAGCTATTCAACGGCCATTTATTTAGATGTCGTTCATATCTGAGGATAATTTCACAGGTACAACGTTAGTCGTCTTGACCTGTCATGGTACTTCTAATCAGTATCGTCTCCCTTTCATCATGGAAAGATTCAGCCCGGTTCAGTGTCTGGAATTTGGTTATCTGACCGACCTTCAGATCTACCAATGACACATTGTTTGCTGTCTTTAGTTCACGTTCGTGGTCTTTAGGCCAACCGGTTTCAGCAAAATTGTCCTTACTTGCCGCACAGCAAGTTAAACCATGGCTCTATTGCCACAATCATTCGAACTGATTTAGCCAACTTAGATCGTGTGATATCACACCTTGAGACTTTAGCCTTTCCGTCTACAAGAATAAGACAGATATAGTTGGTAATTCAATCCAGCTTTACTGGCTTTATTCCCCAAATTCCACTCAAATTGCTCGGACGCGTACTTCAAAATTGGAATACCACAGTCAATTGCAGTAACAGCCAACATTTGATAGATAATCAACCAAAAAATACATAGTAACGGCCAATATTTAGTATATTAAGTAATAATCTTCCAAAAATAAATTTCATTTTTTTTGTTTGATCGGTAAATAATGTGACCCTACAAAGTCGATTGTTTCTATTTTTGCCTTACAATATATACTGTTGATTCTTTTTATGATTTTACTTTTGAAAACAGTACCTCTAAATGAACCACCGAACGTATTGAGATTTAACTATACCGTGCTGACGATGCCTCATAAGGATGATTGTACATGGTTGGTTGATCGAATGAAAATAGTTTTTCGTTAGCCTTGGGAAAAGTACGGCCCTAAATGCACTGTTACTGTTCGGCTGTCAAAACAAACAAACTATGAAATGGTCCCTACCTATGGCTCGCCTTCACACTGTTTAGGTAGATAGATTTTTCATCTGTTCATGTCCAAATTACAAAATCAGTGACCACTAGTGGCAGCAGGTGGCACGTATGTGCTATCTACTTCCATCATTTCTTTAACACGGGAAGTAACATGACACTGTATTATAAAATACAATTTATACGGGAGCGTACTTACAACCGATGAAAAATTGAATAGGAGAAATCAATATCGAACCGATAGGTGGAAAAGCCTTTAACCATCTTTGATTGAATAAAATATACCATCTGGGGAGAGTAAAGAGTGTATCGTTTTATTGCCTCCTGTCTGATTTATTTAGCGAATGAAATTGAACGTAATGTCATCAATTACTTCAAACTGAGGTGCAGGAAAGAGACCCTGTCACTGAATAATTTACTTCTGCATTGATCCTTTCATATATTGAAAAATGGTGAAACGGCTTTGCGAATATAGTCTCAGATCTCAGGTTGTGAAATTTTGGGCCAATTTTTATAATAGATGCTGAGAATTTTTAATATGGTCTGAAGCTATATTGTTTGTGTACTACGTCTTTACATTCCATGTCACTCATTAGTTTTTGGCCCCGCTATAACTTGGAAAGTACCGTTCGGGTTTTGGTGTAATTTTGACCCAAGGCTACAGCTATATCAAGGACGAAAACACCTGTTAATTTTTTATTCGTCCAGTGACGGCGTAGGCACTAACAACGAAAAAAATAAATACCCCTCAAACTTTGTTTTTTGACGTTTTAGAGGTGTATGATAATTTCAGAAAAAAATGGCGCAAGGTAAGTTATAATGTATAGGTTACATGTAAAGTGTTCACTGCCGCAAAAACACAGGTAAATCCTAAGTATCGTGCACAACAAACATAAAGTACCTAAAATAGTTAAGACTTGTGGTTGAGTTTGTTTAAACTGGCATGAAGTTATAGAATTTTGGACCCAAGAAAAAAGAGATAATTGAGTAATGGTTTTTGATGTTTATACAATACACATTTGAATTTTGATTGAATCTTGTTCTGTAGTTCTGAATGATGCGCTCTAAAAGCTTCTAATGTTTAATATAATATATTATACAAGACCACCATAAAAATAAATTTGTCTGCAATCTAATAGTCGAGCCACCATATATAGAGAATGACTTGGATAAGTAACCTCCGTATGTAACCTTTAGAATTAACCATTGGGTAACATCAATATTTTTGTAATTTTTGCTCATAACCCCCCCCCCCCATCCAAAATTCCGTAAAGTAGTGGAGGGTAAACAAGAGCACAATGCAGATTGTCTACATACTTTCTATCTAGAATGTCTCGGAAGTATCTGTGGGCAGATATAGTTGCTATGACTAATACCGCGTGAATGATGATATTGACTTATACAGCATACAGTTCACGGCACCACAGAAGCGACTGCCGACTGCGACGCATGACGCACGACCATCAGTCGCATCACGTGGTACGTATCGACACGCGACTGCTGAAGATATTTCTAAGTCTTAAGGTTAAATGTGTGGGGATATCTATGCTGAATGAAATATTTTTAATATGTAATATACTCTCTTTCACCCTTTGTAACCTCTCTCCCCCAATTTTTAAATGCTACAAAAATGATTTCGAAAATGATAAGGAGGCTCTGAAACGTCAGTCACAAACGAAGTTTGAGAGATTTTTTTCGTTTTGGCCTCAGTCGCCACTGGACCGATTTTTCAAAAACTACAAAGCTTTTTCGACTTTCCAAGTTATAGATGGACCAGCAGGCGTAGGAAGCAAAAATTGTAGTGATTAAAAATTGCGGTTTTTTTGAGGCAGGGGGATCTATCTCAATTTTTGTGCGTTATTGTATTTATACGCTTCCAACCCCAATAATTCTATACGAGTACACCCGTTGAACATATTTCACACATCATAGATTTCCCCATACATTTACCTTTAAACCTTAGAAGGATAGAGAAATATTTCCAACACACCCGTCGCGCGAACCAAACGAAGGTAGATATACCTGCGTTGGAGTCTGACCGATGAGTGACTGGCGAGTAACACTACTAGTTTCAAGGTTCTCTCTTCCTAACAATATTCTACACGGAAATTTGGGCGATTAATTATGTCTGATACATATTGAATACAGAAGTGGGATTGATCCAGAAGAGGAATAATTGTCTGCTCTGACAGACGCCAATCGCGAAACTAAAGTTAAGTAACTTGATATAGCGGACATACTTGCAGGAGCGATATCTAAAGGCAGGCTTATTGGCACGAAGCTAGCTTTAGGTCTGCTCAAGCAAAGAGTAAGTCAATAGAGTAACGAATATTGAGACAACACTCTTGAAATGGGACGACAGGTCTGTTCAACTCTATCATACGAGGAAGCTTATTTTAGGGCATAGACCAAGGAAAGACATTTCTGCCTATCCCTTGATAGAACAACCTAAAGTTTCCGGTTTTCTAAGCGTACGTTTCACAAATTTACATCTATCCTGTTTGCTTTAGATTTTGACACGCCACTGGCCTGAACATTAATTTAATAATCTCTGGTTCGCGCCAAGAGTGGCCCCGTCAAAGTTCCCTTCGAGAGTTACTTTTATTGCATCTGAAATTTATGGAACCGTTTCGTGAAACGCAATTTTTGTTGTGTATCTTCCATGCTCTTCTTTGCTCTTTTTCTTCTACTTCGCATACAAATTGGTAGGGGGTTCACATGGCCGATATGACATGTGAAGCATACAGAAGATTGCAAGTAAACTAGGCCTTTTCAATATTTCAATAAACTCAAAATTCAGTGTATATCAAAGTTCATTAACAGAAAAGGAAATCAAATTGAGACTTCGGCTGTAAGTTCTATGCTATAGCTGGAAGGGAATACCGCAGTGGACATTGAATTAAAATATTTAAATCTTATGTCAAATACACATGCTTATTGAATTTCAAAAATGCGAGAGACGAAAAAGAGAATCTCAAATAGATGAATAGAGCAGTTGAGAAAATAGGCTACAGACAAATTGTCTAAAGTATTGTGAGTTGTATCCAACGATATCCTAATAAGTTAAAAAATGGAGCGCTCATACAAATTACAATATTATATGCCCAGTTTACATATCTACTGCCATGTGGTTATAACATGAGAGCAAATGAGGTGCCTTTTCTACATGACTGACTTATTTGTATGACTCCCGATGCTCTCAACTTCCAGCGTAGTTTTCGATTAGCAACACCATTCGAAACATTTCCAGCTAACATATGCATTATACAGTAATACTTTTTTCACGTAGGAATCAATGATCAAAAAGCACTAATTGTATACAAATACAGACCAGTACATACAAGCTGTCTTTTATTTTGGTACATGAGTATAGTAGATACAAACTTAGCGACTGCGCTCGCCATCAAGGCAATCTAAGGAAAACTGACGTAATTCAAGGAGATCTGAGGTTATCTAAGATGATTTGCCCAAGTGACGCATTTCTGTCGTCATTATAGTCTATGGTTGCTAGGATGATATCCAAGTATTTCCAAGGAGATTGAAGTATCTCCAATGAGATGGGGGACTTGTAAGGGAAGTCAAGGATCTCCAAGCGCATTCAAATAAACTTTTCTTCCAATAATTGTCAATAAATTAGCCACTCGCGATTGTCTACTACCACCCTGCCACAAATATGTTCAACTTTATTTCGCAAATAGGTGTTTTTGGCGTACTTTTGACTAACATCTCAACAAATAAATATGTGTTAACATTAGTAAAATGTACGGTTGCCAGCTTTAAAATATCCACGTTGTCTGTTGTCTTGGGGACATACACATAGGTCCTTAGGGTCGTATCATCAATCTTTCCTACAATTGTAGGACGCCATGATTTTCATAGTCTTTTCTCACCTTCAGAAATGCTGGGGTATTTCTAGATTTCTCTTGTATCGTGTCAGCGTCAACGCTCTCCTATTCTGAGGTTATGTTTTCTTTTTGATCTCCAGAAACTTCCGGCTGATAAAACAAGATTTATTACCCTGAAATATCTTGGAATTCAAAAAGAAAACATAACCTCAAAATAGAGCGCTTATACTAAACAGTAGAAATCTAGAAAAACCCCTTTCTTTCTGAAGGACAGGAAGGACTATAAAAATCAAGGAGACCATAAAGGCATCCTACAATTGTAGGAACGGCTGACGATACGGCCTATATTGAGGTAGATTCTTTTTTGTTTTAGGTACTCGGAACCATGCACCTTGACCACCAAGGCTGCTCCGTGGCAACGTAGCTAAATTAAACAATTTAACTTTGCCAACAGACATTTTTGATTGAACTCTAGTGTCTTGTAATGTTGACGAAATTTGAAATAAACTACATCGGAGCTATGAATTCATTGATTCATTGAATGAGATAATGTGTGGAATCTGGGCCTACAACTAACATCTACTCTTTCTATCCAACTAGTGCTTGTTCCTAGAGATAAAGTGGTAGTGCCCGACTACATCAACACAATGTATTGAGGCTTAATATCACCAGGAATGCAGTTAACTACATAAACAATAGTAATTTCCCACTCAAACTCGCCCACAATCTTCATACGAAACGCCTCTGTCCATCAACGCTCACGGCTCTAACCTGCGTGGGCATCTTTTATAGACAATAGTGTGAAACTATTAAATGAATTATACAAACGATATACTACTAAATAAATAAAACTAGCGACGTTATCTTGCTGTATTAATTAGATAATAAATTTTGACTTTTTTATGTTGCAGTATCCGTTTTGGGAGTGCCTGAACGCCACCTTTAACGGTAAGTAGACAAATTAATGTTTCTGATTGAGTGTGATGTATCAGAGTGGCATTTTTTAATTGAAAATGTTGTATTCTAACAAACATTCATTTGACATTTGCGCATTCCAACCATATTTATTCACGATAGCCCATTCTCACGAGTTTTGAACTTAAATCAAGACAAACCCTCTTCGGAATAGTTGCATTCTAAAATTGTATTATATGATCTCTTTAGACTGGAATCTAGTACTAAAACGGAAGCGAGTAGAAAAAAATGTTGTACACTACTGCTAACGCTATGCGTCTTTGAATGCCGCGTGGTCCGCGCGCACCGACTATGCCGATTCAAAGCAACACTGCGCTAGCAGTAGCGTACGATGTGTTTTGGTAACCAAGTGTACACAATACCAATATGAGTGATTTTCAAATATCCATGCATTTCTCTACTTCTGCTGGTCCAGACCATTGGACGATTTAGAGGGGCGTACCCCCTTACAGAGCCATTGTCATATTTTTAAGAAAAATTATCTTGCTAGACTCAAATTGTTGAAACGTGCGCCTCCCAAAGACGTATCCCACCCCCTTCCATTGTCACAAGAGCATAAACTCTCAAAAACGCTGCTTAATCTTGCAGCCTTCCCCACCACGAATTTTGTGACCACCACTGCGCCTCTACTCCTAGACAGAGCCCTAAGTATGCCACTGATCTGGTCCAGTTCAAGGCCTTGTTCGAGTTCTGAATGAAACTATCAAAGAACCGTTCTGAATCTGCCAGCCGCCAATCATAAAACGCCTCTAACATCATCAGAGCTTACTGCGCAGAATCAGAACGGTTCTGGAATAGTTCTACATAATATAGTATCTAGAACTCGAACTAGGCGTAAGACCGTCATTAGGAGTTTGCTGGACTATGTATTTATAGAAGAGTAAGCAAATTATGAGGATCAAAAGATTATATTTTCCTCAGTTCTTCTAGAAATGAGAGCCCACGCAATGAAGTGACACATGTCACGATTGACGTGTGCATTTTGTCAAATTTTTGCATTTAAATATTACAGATCGTGTATATTTTAAACTTTCACCAACATTTTCGTTTTACTTATTACCTCTACTAGCGGGCAAGTATTGTGATCGCGAAGTTTTTCGAAATTGAGTTAATATGTTTTTTGATATTAAGTAGGAGTACAAGTACAAGTACTCGTATATTACGAAAAACCATGTTACTATTTGCCGTCGCGCTGTCTGTCTGTCGGTCTGTCCGCTAATCTTATAACCGCCTATAACTTGAGAAGTACTGCTCGGATTTCGAATTTTTACACAATATCACTAATATGACAAGGACCCAAAAGCTTTATAGTTTTAGAAAATCGGTCTAGTGGCGGCGGTGAAAAAAGCCAAAATCGAAAAAAAATTCGCTCAAAAATCGTTTGCGAAAAAATCTTTTTAGGGCTTATGAATTAGGGGTTGCAGGGGGTGGAAGAGGATATATCTAAATTTTTTTAAGTTGGTATATTTATAGTTTTTCAACCACAGTAATTCTTCGCACATTAATATTTGACTTATCATACATGTCCCTGTATATTTAGCCTTAAAACTCAGAAATATCTCAAACAGTCGGATTTCGCTTTGGCACTGTTAGGTGCAGTGTGCACTGTGTATGGTGAAGGCCAATATCGTCATTTGCGCGGGATTAGTCATCGCAACTATCGTGTTGGCCTGCACGAATCCCTGTCAGGGGAGGAGGGAGGTTGATTAATTTTTTGTTATACAGGGTCCGGCAGAAAGAACGCATGTTTTTTAAATGAGTAGTACAGTCAAAATAAGTATGGGAAAATATTTTATTATATCAAAATACTCAGAAATACATGCAGGAATTTTGGGTTACTTCTCTTCTAATTTCCTCCTTCAAATCGACGAGGGTCCGAGGCTTGCTTTGGTAAACTTTTGATTTCAGGTAGCCCCATAAAAAAAATCACACGTTGACAGGTACGGGGAGCGAGGGGGCCATGGAATATCGCCATGACGGGACATGAGACATCCTGGGAACTTTTGCCGAAGAAGTTCCATCGAAGTGCGAGCTGTGTGAGATGTTGCCCCATCTTGTTGGAACCACAGTGTTCTGAGACGGACACGTCGATGTCGAAGTTCCGGAAAAAAAAAGTTGTTCAGCATATGGATGTAACGCTCTGAATTCACAGTAGTTGTTTCTCCATCATCCTCAAAAAAATAATGGCCAATAATAATCGTTGGGCGTTCTGTACACCACTGTAACTTTCGGGGTATGCAGGGGGTGGTCATGCAACTGATGGAGGTTCACTGGAGACCAATATCAACAATTTTATTTGTTGACGTATCCATGTAAATGAAAATGTGCTTCATCGGTCATAAACAACGTCATGTAATTGTTATCCAACTGTTCAATCATGAGCTGTGCAAAATTAACACGTTGTGCATAATCCCTTGGCAACAGTTGTTGACAAACTTGGATTTTGTAAGGATGGAACACTGAATCCTTCTTCAAGATGCGACAAACAGAGGACACCTGGATCCCTAGGCAACTGACACTCTCTCTACGTTTTCGGGGGTTCTAACAGTACGGTTTCGCCCTGGCGGTTTTTTCCTCATCACATGTCTGTATATGTAGCAGCTAACTTTATTCTTAGAAGGGCAAATTTGTGGGAAATATAAACCTTCACGAACTGATGACAGCGTTGCGTGGGAAGTACAGAGTAAAAAATTGACGCCATTTTTTATTCTAGTTGTAGTTGATTGCCCTTTAAAAGCCCAAATATCGAAATTTTTGTTTTTTTGTCTAAAATTCACCTATTTTCGAGTATGTATCTTAATATTCCTGTATGAGAGCAAGGTCCCCACACTTTCTACTTAAAATCTGTTATATAACAGACGGCGCTGTTTAGTGCTCAATAGCAACTCATCAGTGTGCTATAAGTTTAATAGTCCTGGAGACAGATGAACGTAAGGCAAACAAGTGGGTATGGTCGTTTGAGAAGCTCAAAGTGCGTAGCTAGGCTATAAATCTGACTAAAACTATTGGTAGGTGGAGATTTTCAAGCTCGAAAGACATCTTTATGAATGCTGATTCTTCCTCCTCGGTTATCTTCGCGGCACTTCTCTTCAGTGAGCATGAAGCCTCAATGTGCTGGAGAAACAGCAAAGTGTCAGAGTAAAGACTGGTACCTTTGGAATATTATCTTCGCTGTTAGGAGACATAAGTTAGCTATTGCGCAGCTTTTTAGAGAGATTTTCATATTTAAGAATGCTCGATGCATATATTACTATTTTTTCACCAACATTTGTAAATACTACGCGTGAAATTCTCAATAGGATCAAATATACCACACCGTCGCGAAATGATAAAAATGCAATGCAGCGCTGGTATTTAACTGGTAAACAAATTAATTCACATTTAGATAGACAATTGAAATTAATTATCTTCAATGTCTGCATTCTTAATTTAAACACCCACAAGGCACAGCAAACGTTCGCTCTTATGCTCGCTCGACTGCTTGACTTTGCAGCAGGTCTAAATCATTTTTATAGTCTCCACTTACGTACTTGATGTATTCAAATATCCGCAGGACGTGATCTGGTTATGGCGTCTTGTTTCTCTTTATTGGTTTGCTAATGTTTACAAATTGCTTTGCCTCTTAAAATAGTAAATAAAGCGTTATAACCATTTCATGGAAAAGAAGCTATTAGTGTCAAAATATGAGATATAGTGGAATTAAAATATTCGAATCAATTGTTTTTAGTTTTCTTACAAATAGGTATAGTTGTGGAAAAGTAGACAAAGAAGTTAGATAAGTTACCTTCTGTATACTTAGTTCTTCTAGATAAATTTGTGAAATAATATACCTTGCGGGAAAAAAGACGAGACAAACGCAGTTTGGCATGAATTATGTCTTGACGCTACCCAACATGAAGAAATGCAGCAAGCACTACAAAGACTTACACTTCGGGTGCAAAAGTCCTCTGAAATAAGTCTGTAGAGCTTTCCCGCTGAGAGCTAGTATACACTGAAAACCAAATTTGTCTGACGGCTTGAGTTCAATGCGTACAAGAGAGAAGTGTATATTGACACATAGGTAAGACAGACCTATAATTCGGCTGGATAGCGAAACTCATCACCACGTTGCCTAGCAATGCCGATGCGGCAATCTGCCGCGTTGCCAATATGTTACACCAGTTCCTTGAATTAACATGCATGTTGAAAATATTCTCCATTTATTCTCCACTCCCAAATAATGGTTTTACTTTGAGCGTACACATGTTTGACTTGTGAATTGTCATCAACCTGTTTAGGACCGATTCCGGATCGGTATTAACGGCGCTTCACTTTAGGTCGAAATGAAAGGTGAATATCACCACAAATTCTGCAACATTGCATCATTGGTTCGATGGATAACACCGCATCTTGTACGTTCAAAGGCAGGGTTTCCACCTCCTTGATCATAGTTGAGCGATTTTGGTCAGTACCCATACAGCGCTCGTAGGGGAGTGTCGTCCTGCTCCGAAATGGTTTTTACTTGCGTACATGCAGGCAGTGATAATTTGTAGTGCTTAATGGTGTTTGTTACATTTTCCGATCGCTCGCTGTCGCAAAATGTAACAGTAACTCAGGATGTGTTGATTTCATCACCATCGGTGGAAATCAAAGATGATTCTATAATAAATTAAAACATCAAGTCGCATCAAAATTGAAATGAATAATTCTAATCAAAATGAAAACAGAATATTAAATTACAAGTTAGATCAACCTAACCTGTTGTACAAGCCTGTACGAACATTTTTTGGAGTAAGATATTGGCAACGCGGCAGATTACACGACCTTTTGCGTCCCCGTCGCTAGGCAATGTAGTGATGACCTTCGCTCTTCATCCTGCTTCTAGCTCTTTCTAACATGTGTTGATGCACACTTCTGGTGCTGCTCTCTCATGCACATTGAACTCAAGCCATCAGACAAATTTGGTTTTCCCTGTAGAAGCTTCTTCTAGTGTA